GGGGGGGGGGGGGGGCAGGGGGTGGAGGGGGAATCCGCGGGGGGATGAGTGCAGGCATCATACAATGGGGCGGAAACTGCCTCTCCCCTTCATCCCTTTCCCGTTTGCGAGCTACGGTTCGCACGCGTTGTGCCACGTGACCAGTTCTGCTGTGTGTACGCACTTTTGGTGTTCCTTCTCTCTCTCTCGGCATTCACAGCTGCATTAAGAGTGATTTACTTTAGCTAGTATGCCACTTGGTGGCGAAAAGATTCGAAAAAGACGCGCGTGTCGCTTGTCCAATTCCCGAATTCCGGAAATTCGAGGGATTTTACCCCTTTCGGACCCCTTGACATCTTCGCAATGTAAACAGAAGTGTGTACTTAGCTTTATTGAAATTTATTATTCCTTGTTGATTCTGGTGATGATAGAAAAATAGAGGAAATTTCTTTTTTTTCGGTTTTGTTAGATTTTTTGTTATAGTAGCGCCGGGTGGTGACGCCCTTTCGTTATGCTCTTTTTTCAGTCAGATTCGATATTCCGTTTTTCAATTAATTGTTTATCAGCATTCTCACTGCGGGTCCCAATTTATCAGCTGTTAAATTTTTGCGTTGCAATAAATGATTTGCTCGGGTTCTATAATTACAATTCAATTACAATAATTACAATTCAATTCCTTCTAGAACACACTCTAGAGTGTGAATTTCTGGAATTCAATGTTTGTTGATACTCTGGTAAAAGTGCGTGCCCAGACTGTTATCAGTTTTTAGCTAGTTCACACGGTTATTCAATTAATCTGTTGTTCATCTCATCAATATAATTCCGTGCTTAGAATATTGTCGTCTCGTGTTTTCAGCACCAAATTAAAAATTAAAACTTCATTTGGAATATTGAGTCACAGCTTATTTTTATTCATATCAGAAATTTTGTATTTGGATATTAATATTATTTGTTCAAAGTGAAAAAATCGATCATCATTTTCACTATATTGCATTCAGATTCTCCTATCCTTAACGTCAAAAATGTGAGATAATCTCATAGTTCTAGCTATTAATTCTAATCAACTTTGTTCGAAGAAAACCTTAGTAAACGCAATATTAAGAAAGTAGAATTATTCTGTTTTCCTCTGACCTAAATGATTTGGACAATTATGAATCGTTTATTCGTGTTTCATAGAATGGTATTCAATTCTCTTTTGTTTGCGGGCTTCATGAAAATTCGACGCAAGACGATTGCACTCATGAAAACCGCCTTACTTTCTCCATTCATTCGCGATTTACCCATGTTTTTTATTAGAAAGGAAAAGCTGTGAATGCACAAGAAAAATTAAAAATCTCCCTGAATATTATGTAATATTTTTTATTTCGTTAATTTGAATTCGACTCAACAGCAATGCAACAAAACTTAACAACATCCAATTGAATTTCGCACAATACTCCCCTGAATTATCGCAATTTTCAATGATTCCAATTTCCTAATATTGGAATAATAACTAAATAAACATCAATAATTGAATAAATTAATTACTCCTTGTTTGTCATATTTTCCGTGTGTTTTACCCGCGAATTGCAGTTGACAAAAGTAACATATGCGCGTGCGATGACGGATGGCGATAGACTTCTCCCC